TTAGTGAAGAACAAAGGTACTCCAACATTTCCTCTCTAAACTACTCACATAGCTTATTACGCTTGTTTTACTATCTAATAAAAATAGCATGGTTCCCGCTACTTTTATCGTGTATCTTAAAATCTTGTCGATGTAAAGAGTAATTCTTCACCCAGGATACGGTTGGAAACAAGGATAATCGGTTGGGGTTGTTTGTTTGTTTTTTGGCTCACCTTACAAATTAATATTTCATCCTCGGGAAACTGATCTAGCCATAGCCGTAACTGGGTTTTAAAAAGCGCTGTATTATTGGTTGCAACTCCTAACTACTGCTTAGAATTCTCCCTTCCACAACAACTTTAGATAAGAGCTGTTGATGACAATTTCTATTTTGCTGTCGAAGAAAGATCGAAGCCTGAGCGGGAATTCGTTTTTATTAATTAAAAATCACGCTTACACTGTGTTTTTAAAAAATCACCTTGCAGATGTGTGAAAAACGCAAGGGGTGAAGTGGGGAGTAGTCATTTAAACAGGTGGGTGTCTTGGACAGGCGATCGACTGTTAGAGCAGGTTCGACTATGTTTTCTGCTCTTATCTGTCTGTCTGTCTGTCTGTCTGTCTCTCTCTCTCTCTCTCTCTCTCTCTCTCTCTCTCTCTCTCTCTCTCTCTCCCTCTCGCCCAATCCCTATCTTTAATATCCTAGTCCTCTTGTCCACACTCTACCACTCTTCCACTTTCTGCTTCTGCGATAATCAATAAGGATCAAATCAATCATATTTTATGCGCTAGGTCCAGCGGACTAATTAAGAATTCATAGAATTCGCACCCCCACCCTCGGTCAAGACAGATAAAAACGGATAATGTTAAGGAGGGGTGGAGGTGAAGGAAGGGGGTTGAGAGAGACAAAAGTACTAGTTCAGCCTTTGAATGTTTGGGATGGGGATAAGAGTATGAATCTTACCCTGGATTGCATCCCTGGCTTAGAATATATTCTCTCCCGTCTCAGTAAAAGAAAAGAAAATGTCAGAACTGCAGAGAATCACAAACACATACACAGTAAACTTTTACTAAATAAATGCTCTTACAAAGTCTCAGTCTGACCGCCCCC